ATTAATTATGGCAACTTTTATGGCAACTTTTGCAATTTTTGTGGCAACTTTTGATAATTTTTGGACAAAAAAATGGCAACAAACGCAGACGCTAGAATTGTTTACTAACGACGCTGACAACTCCGTACATCTGGGGAAAGAACATTACGACATCGGCTGAAGGTTCTATTTCTACGTGACATGGACTTGTTCAGCTGATACCTCCACAAACTTCCTTGTGAAAAACCTAAACCTTCGACCCAACCACCCGCAAAGCGAATTCACAGTACATTTTCCCCTTTTAGGATCATTTAATTTAACAAGGCATGTTGTGTTTTGACGGCTTTGGGGTCAACCTGCCCTACTAAATGTACTACTACTAGGTAGGAGGCCCCGTCGTGTGATCAACTTCTACAAAAAGACGGCAGATGGTTCACTCTGCGCATGCGGAGGAAAGATTTTGTTTAAATTAAGCCGCTTTTACGCCCCCATCGACTCAATTTAGATCAATTAGGAGGCGGGCTTCTGACCCTGTTGAAAGAGATATAACATTTCTCCAGCAAAAAAGGTCGACACACGGAACTCGATAAAAATTGGTTCCTTTTAAGGACAAGCGGGCCCACCCAGATTTCGGGGGTTTCCAAATCTTGACCTACACCAAAAGTGGGCACTGCACTACCTATAGGATAAGTTTGGTTTCATTTGTGTGTATATCTGTTTGGTTATATAGAGAAAACTCTCCTTGTCTTTTACAGAAACTGAACAAGGATTCAAAAACTTTACCTTCGATTTTCTCAAAATAGCATTTTTAGGGACATTCCCCTTGTGTTTAAAAGTGACCAGATGTTCCAATATGAGATTCGAACTAGGATCTCCTGGTTGCGACAGCGAAGCGCCTAACCGGCACATCACTGGGTCCGGTCTTGCGGAGGACCTGGGAACAGCGACTGTGTTCAACGAATACAATGTCATGTGCCTCGTTGTGATAGTGGTTGTGACATAGATAGTACATAACAAGATGGGCCACTCAGCCAAAAAAGTGTCCGCCGGAAATTCGCGCTTTGCTTCAGATGGCGCTGCAGTGTGTTTTGAAGCTCTCTTTCGTTTTTCCAGAAAAAGAATAGGAATAGCATCTCTTTGCGTGCGCAGATCGACTGCTGTTCATCAGCAGTTCGGGTTCGTTCAGTGTGGAGGTTTTTTTTGTTTTTTTTATTTTAATGACCTCTCGCCTTTCATTCTAAAGTCAGATTAAACGAAGAAAACAATCACCCTTTCTTCCGGAAGAGGTTTTTTTGTCAGTGTAACCATTTTAATAAAGCGTTCTTCCGAAATGTATTCAAAAACTTGCTAGTTTCACTTTAATTTTTTTAACTCAAGTGGGGTAACTCTGTTCGCAAAGGGTTCGCTTTTGCGAAGAGGGCGTCACCGAATTTTGAGGACACTTTTTTAATTGGCTCAAAGAGAGAAGTGGCCCCTCTTGTTATGTAGACTCTTTGGTTGTGATCATAATATCGATACTCAATTTTTGCCTTGTTTTAGCAGGTTACACAGTACAGAGTAAGCAGGGGCGGCTCGTGGGGCTAAAATGTGGGTGTGCACAATTAAGCTGTAGCAGATTGAAGGGCCACCCATGCCAGACAGGTCGACGGGTAGAGGTCAGGCGAAGCGTGATCTACCGGCCCTCCAGGTTTCGGAGGTTCAGCTCAGGGCTAACAACCCAGACTGGTAAAAAGCATATGTTACCGGAACAGCAACAAACAGAAACCATATTTCTGTGTGTGATGAACATTCAGAGTCCCTTGGGACTCGTATGAATGCGGGCAGTAAAAGCCGCAAGGAGGAAGCTCTTTGCAGGAAGATGGAGGACCTGAACACCGCAAAGACAAAAGTTATCATAGGACTATGGAATGTAAGGACAATGTATGAAACTGGTAAGTTGGCACAAGTAACGAGCCCTCCACTGGACACCCAAAGGACGTCGCAAAAGGGGCAGACCCAAAGTGACATGGAGACGCACAGTAGAGTCCGAAATGAGGTCCTGGAATCATTCGTGGGGAACGCTGATCAAGATGGCCTAAAACAAACAGAGCTGGAGATCCTTTGCTGCTGCTCTAAACGCCAGGTGGCGTAATGGGTAGTAACTAACTAGGTTGAAGATAGTCAAGGGCATAGTAAATGGGATTGAAGGATGTTTGGTTCACAAACCCAAAGTAGGTTAGAAAATTAATTTGATAAGAATTCTGAATAAGAATAGACTCTCAATATGCTTGTGACTGCGTCGGTAGCAATTCGAAACAAATTCTCCGTTTTTTTTGTGTGTTAGTGTTAGCTCCTTAGTATCAGTTTTAGTAAGAGTTTTACGGCACTTGCAACACAATAAGATCATATAGGCATCGAAGATTAGAAGTGTTACAAGAGAGTAACAAACACAAAAAAGAAGGAGGGGAGATAAAGTAGAAGATAGATTTTTTAATAGGAAAGATTTAAAGAAGGAGCAAACCACACCAGAGCACCCGCCAACCACCCACTTAGCTCCTCCTTATGATATTTATAGTATAGCCTATAGGCAGTGAACAGGTTCTGTCTTTCTTCATACTCTGGAGCCTGGATACACTGACGAGGGATTCTGGTGTTTTCTGTTGCTGTCCTCATCTTTAGCTTTGTATTCCTTTGTCCCTGTGGTTTAAGGTTTCACGCACCCCGCATAATTTAGAAAAAAAAATTATCATTTTTTGCATAATTTCTGATATTTTCCTTTATCACTCTTTGTTTTGAAAAAACAGAATCACATAATTTTACATTTTGGGCTCAGTTTGCATAGTTTCAAATTTTTTCTTGCATAAAACGACGGGGACTGGCCTAAATCTAAGGCGGGGGCATGCTGTATACTGTGTACATGTGTAGAGATTGCTTCTTTTTTTAGTGCATATGTATTAGTATTAGTAGTAGAAAATTCTTCTTATAATGCGTGGAAGTAGCCCAGATAAAGTTTATCATAAACACTGAAAAAAAACCTCAACTAAATTAAATAGTGATTCGACAGAGCTCTAGTTATCAAATTGAACAACAGCCTACCTTGTCTAGTTGCTCACGATTAGTAATCATTACACCAGACAAGACGCCAAAGTCGCCCTTCCCCCAATGCAACCCGTGCATCTGTATTTGGTGAGTTTTGTTTTTTGTTCGTTTGTTGTTGTTTTTTTGGGGGGGGTTTGTTGAAGTTTGGGGGGGGGGGGAGGCCGCCACTAAATACACTTTTTTCTCTGCATTTGCAGTTTGAGTAATAGTGTTTACGGCACTTGCAGCGCAATAAGGTCATAAAACTAGCCGAAGATTGGAGGCGTTACAAGAGAGTAATAAACAGACAAAAGAGAGTTCAGGAAAATAGGTTGTTTGTTGTTGTTTTTTTTGCGCTTGCAAGGTCGCAAGGTCACATGAGCGCGCGGAACACATAAAACATTTTCTGTTGGTAGGAAATTTGAATTTTGCCCGGATGGGGGCCGAAGCCTACTCTTATCAATTTTGGATCACCAAGGTATCTTTAACGTGCGCAACTTGCACCGAGATTTTTCGCCCTTATCCGAGAAGGATAGGTGTTGGACAGCATTGACAAAGAACCCAGAGGAGGGGACTCACGAAGTGAGGGGGGTGGGCGCATACAGTGGAGACGAAAGCAGACGACAGAAAGTTAAAATTAAAAAGCAGGAAAGGGGGGAGAAAGGAGAAAATTTTAGAGAAGAAAATTTTCTGTCGCTATCCGGATTCGAACCCAGAACCTATTGAATGAGAGGCGAACACCTTGACTTCTCGACCACGAGAGCCCCATCAACAGGTGTTTGATAGGAAAGAAGTAGCACACTACACCAGAGCACCCGCCGATCACCCACCTTTTTTTCTCTGCCTTTGCAGGACTGCATTCTGTCGGTTTATCTTTTTCGCTTGCAGCGCTGCTTGAAACTGTCGATTTTGAGTCAATGAATTTTGGGTTGTTTACTGATTAATGAAGTTCAAGAACTACTAGTCTGGGATTCGACCAGGATCATCTCCTCAGAAGTCCAGCAAGATACCATCTCGGCTAACAGAACGACCATCCTGTCCTTGTTTCATCAAAAGTTCATCATTGTGAGCTTACAAATAGATTTTTGAACGGTTAAAGATGATGTTACCGGTAAAAAAATAACAATTTTGAAACCTTTTTTTTTTGGAAATACACAAGCAGCCCAGGTGCATCTAGACTCTACCTCCAGCGACCCATGGGTAACTTGATTTGGTTTGTTTTATTGGTGTTTTACAGCACTTGCAACTGCATAAGGTCATAATAATATTATGAGCATGCAGGACACTAAATATTTTCAGTTGGTAGGAAATTTTGAATTTTGCCCAGGTGGCGGCTGAAGCCTACTCTTATTGATTTTGGACCACCAAAGGATCTTTCATCAGCGCAACTTGCGCATGAGACTTTCGAGATTTTTTTCGCCCTTATTCAAGAAGGCTAGGTATTAGATTTTACCTGCCATAAGATCAGGGGTGTGGCTGAAAGACAGCAGAAAGAAAGAGCCAAGAAGTAGCAGTAGAAAGGCTCCAGAAAGGGTCAAGAGCCCAGAGGAGTGGGAAAAGAGGTGAGGAGGTGGGAGCAGAAAGTGGAGACGAAAGCAGACAGATCTTTGTAAGAGAGCGGGAAAGGAAGTGAAAGGAAAACATTTAAGAAGAAAAAATCCCCCCCCCCCCCCCCCCCCCCGGCTGTCAGGTTTCGAATCCTGGACCTATTGAATGAGAGGCGAACACCGTAACCTCTCGACCATGAGAGCACCCAATTTGAGTTTGACACGCCTGATCGAGACTATTCTACAAAAGGATGAAGGAACAGTGACACAGAAGTAATAAAAGCCCAGCCAGACCTATAGACTCCGTGTCATTGACCCTGGGTCATATATATGTAAGCCTAAGGCTGGCACGTTGGTGTAGAGTATACTGTGAAAGAGCTTATGTCAAACCTTTCTATAGTATAACACAAGTAAGAAAACATTTCACACTTTATTGCGGAGCCTAGCATATTTGTACAGTCGGGCACAGGTAACATGAACACGATGGAAAATTTGAAATCATGGGTCATCATCATCATCCAGTGCCAGATCTGCGACAGACATCGGCGATCATGGTTCTCAATTCATTCCTTTGCTCGGATGCTCTCAAAAAAGCTATGTTTTCCTGATCTTTCCCTGTTACCAATTTGTTTAGGTTACCCAAGTATGTTGTTCTGGGCCTTCCCCTGCCTCGCTTGCCCTCAATTTTGCCAGTGAGAGCCAGGTGTTCAAGACCCGTATGTCTATTTATGTGTCCCAAAAACTGCATTTGTCGTTTCCTAATTGTTTTTAACACTGAGCGACCCATGTGGGCTTCATCAAGCAATCATGGGTAGAGCTTGAAATATTTGCCCTTCCTCAACTGATAGATATATCTCTTTTTAAGTTTTCCATTATTGGTTAACCCGAATTATGGATATATGTCAAACACATTTGTCAATGTCTGATGTCTTTTGAGTTATCCTTGTCTGACTGTACTACACTCTTTCTGAACTTCCTTTTATAACCCATTTAAACGTAACACTGCCAAAAATGAAAAACACAACACTGACTGCTTTGCGATTCAATAAATATCATTGTTATTGTAAAAAAATGCCATTAACTTATGAAAGCATGAACGAAAATACTGAGCAAATACCATTGCTTCCGACCTTGACCCTTATAAAAAAAGAACGATTAATTCATTCATTCAGCCATATCCATCAACTCACACACTATAAAACACCAAAAGAACATGTGCTAGGAATCTCCGTCATTTTCACACTTCAAATCGGTTTCCTGCACTATCTCATGGCCGCTTTCCTCCCCAATGTTCAGTTCGTGTTGAAGTTCCTGCGAGGGAGAAACCATCGCTTGCTTGACTACCTCTCCTTCCTCTTCCTCTGTCTCTGGATTTATAAACTGTTGGGCCACTTGGTCAGAGTTAGGGTCCAAGTGACCAGCGGAGTCGGGGTCAAGGTGACTAGTGGCACCGGGGTCAAGATGACCAGTGGCGCCGGGGTCAAGGTGACCGGTGGCGCCATGGTCAAGGTGAGCCGTGGCAGAGACGAGCACCTGAGATATGGTCCCCTCCGAGGTGGCCACACTGACAGCCTCCGACTGATGCACGGCGTCGGCGGCCGCCTGTGAGGCGATGATCTGCTGGAGGTCAGCCTGGGAGATGATGCGGGTGGCTGTGGTCAGCGACTGCTGGGGCAGGATCTGCATCTCCTGGCCGCTCTCCGTCATGATGGTGTCCCCGATGATGTGCATGGTCCGACCCATCCCAGCCTCTTCTTCCTCCTCAGCGTCCTCCTCTTCTTCTTCCTCGGTTGTGCCCCCTGCCAGGCCAAGGTGTTGTTCTGAAGAAGAAAAAAAAAGAAAGTTATATATTACATATACAGTGGAGTCCGCTGAAACCAACATCTGCTGGACCGTCGTATTTTCTTCGGATTAGAGAAATAGCTCAAACAAAAGAAGCAAAATTCTCAGATTTCATTTTCTTTCTGTTTACTGCTGTTTTCAAATTAAACATGTTCACTTTAAGTTTACGTAAGCATACTCTACTGTATATCGGTGGTTGAAGGTGCGCCACCAGACTAGTACATCCTACTTCTTTTCTTCCATACCGTTGTTTGTCTATCTCGATTTTTCCTTACACTAAAAGACTATTATTGTGCAGATATGCTTCTCTTTACTTAAACAAACAAACAAAAGAGATTTTAGGAAGACCCAAGTATTATATGTTGGGTGGAACAGATGGGAAAGTCCAATATTCCATACATTTTCCAGAAGTCCTCTCATTGTAATGGCAAACCTCTGTGTTTTGGGGAAAAACGTAACTTGTGCTATAAATAATCTCTCAAAGTCAAATTTAAAAATAACTTATGAAAGTCAAAGACTGATGGTCAAACAAAATTTTGCAGTGAAAACTTAGTTTAATCTGTATAATTCACATAAATAGCTGCCTGAAGCACACACCAACCCCTGCCCCTCCCGCCAGCAAATCTAGACTATCCCAAAAAGAGACTTGAAGTAGACCTATTAGTCATAAACTAAGACAAAGATAATGCAAAGGAGTGAGTTAAGGTAACCTTTAGAACATGACATGCTACTCATTGTGTGCATGTTCAGACAGAGACAAAAGTAAAATAATTTCAGATAGATGCTAAACCAAAAAATGTTGAAATCACTTTAAAAATAAAAAGGTGGGGGGGTTTGCTCTCCGACTCTTAAGTCTTTAGTTTTAGTAGAGGTTTTACGGCGCTTGCAACTGTATAAGGTCATTTGAGCACCAGAAGATTAGAGGTGTTACAAGACAGTAACAAACATAAAAAAGATGAAGGGGAGATAAGGACGATAGATGTTTCACAGGAAAGAAGAAGCAAACCACACCAGAGCACTCGCGAACAGCCCACACCTTTAAGTCTAAAGAGGTTAAAAGCATAGGGACAAATAATTTTCATTGCAAAGGGGAAAATACTGAAGTATTTTACCACAAGTTGTTCACTGAACTCCATAGAAATTTTTAAAAAAGCAACCTAACTATAAGTGGCAGACTATAATGAGTTTGTTTCTCCACATAGTTGTTCATCCAGCAACCGGCTGAGCTTTCCGCTGTATTGTCGACATTACTAGGTTATACAGTTTCTTGGCGTGCATTCTTCATAAGCATACCCTAGTTCTGCCACAGGAGAAACAAAAGTCTTGAACATTCAACATTTTTTAAATTCAAGGAATTTCAAGAATCCCCTACCTCCCCCC